ACATTTATAACTAATCTGCTGCAATTGGGTATCCTATAAATATTTAGAATATATAATTGAAGATAAATATAATTTTCTAGTACCTCGGGTCATCTATTTTCCCGAGTCCTACTTGCATTTATTATTTGAGATAAAATAAACACCAAATGGGATTTGCTTACAAATGCTCAACATTATGAGACACCTTGCTATGATGCCACATTTATACTTAAAATTATTAAGAACATTTTTTTAATTTTGAAAACTTTAGAAAGACTTTTATCAATACATGTTGTATAGTCTTATTATCTAGCATTTATATCATATTCACAGAGCATTACCTAATATATATTTTCTTTACAACTGACTTCTTTACTTACCCAAAAATTACTGCATTCCATTGCATTATATTGTTTTCAGATGGTGCACCACTGACCCCAACAGGTGGATCTTCTTGTAATCTTCCATAAACAAAATATAATAAGCAAAAATATAAAACCTGACAGTGTGCAAACATTAATTATGCAGCCTGAAAGTATTTAGCATCATATTGTTCAAATACTTTACTACTTAACTCTCGAAAAAATTACTGACCTGGTTAAGAAAAATATAAAATATAAAAACATTCCCTCCAATTTAAAAGATATTGATCAGAATGTTCCTACCATGAACAGAATTTTATAGAAAAGGATGAATCCAATTCTTGAAGATAATTGATATTACAGGTAGTTCTCTAAAACCACAGTTTAGGCTGGAATCTTCCGTTGTTGAGTACAGCGGTCATTAAGCAAGACATCATGTGACCATTTCACTCAACCACAACAATCCTGGCTGTCTTACTTGTGGTTGTTAAATGATCATGCAGATCATTAGGTGGAGCGCAGTAGTGGGGGAGGCCCTAGAAGGCCTGGTGCAGGTACAGGGCTCACCAGTGCACAGAAAATTGGCAAAGGTCCAGGCCTTCTCCCCACAGCCTACCAGACTTGGGAGGCCTCAACCAGTTGCAGTAACTGCAATTGCACAGATAAATTGGTCCACTTACCTTTGCATACAGCCTTCCTTTATTCTAGTGAACATCTGGCAATTTTTTTTTTATAAAAAATAATATGATTTGGAGAAGGAACTCTTTCTAGATTTCTGAATGACTGTGAGAATGGCACCTGCTTGCAGAATGATCCGGGTGGTTTTTATACTAAGGCCACATTTCACATCAATTGCATATGCCTGTCAGTAGCTGCAGAAAAACTAAAGATAACTGAAGCAATTTCCATGCACAGCTGGTCCTGTAACTGGTTGAGGCTTCCTGGACATGATGGAATGGGGAGCAGGTCCAGGTGTCCAAGGCTGCAGCAGCTTTGCAGATGCTGATGGGCCAGGTGGACAGCTGAGATGGAGGGAAGAGACAGTCAGATGGGGAGTTGCGGAACCTCTGCAGTCAGCTATAAGGATGGGTGGACTGCCAAGTGCCCAAATTTTCATCACAGGAATGCAGGAATGCTGCAACAGCCTTAACTTTGGGTACAGATTGTAAGTCCCTTTGTTCAGCACCATCATATTTTCAAATGGCCACTGAATGAACTGAGGACTATCTGTACTTTTCCATACAGTTACCTCCATGTATTACGTATTTATTGTATCTCTCCAAAGAGAGGACATTAATTTTATCTATCTGAAGCACCAATAAATTAGTACAGATTAGAAATCTTTAAGTGCTTTGTTTGAGTCCAAACAGTAAACAAACAATGCCAATTTATTTTGGTTGGTGGAAAAGCCTGATTCTGATGTGCTGTCCCATTCCACTCAATCATCTCTATGAGGTATTCCATCTCTCCAAAATACCCATATATTTTGTCTATCATACCCATGAAGCATCTTAATTTTTTTACATTATTCAGTCACTCAAACTGAATTATCAGCAGGCCATCCTTTAGAGCAGGGGTCTTCAAACTTGGCCCTTTGACTGAGGAATTCTGGAAGTTGAAGTTCACAAGTCATAAAAGAGCCAAGTTTGAAGACCCCTGCTTTAGAGGCAAGTTAAAAAGTACTAAGTTCTATCATGTGGCAAATGTTTCCTCTATAATTTTACTGCATGAAACTTTCCTTATCCTTGCAAACCATTCAGTTACTGTAATATGCAAATATCTTTACTGCGGCATTGTGGCATTTATATTGCACTATTGTCATTTATTTACATTTAAGAGTAGATTTCACATCCTTTTATACAGATTAAAAGAGCTATCTCTAAAATCAAGCTATACTCATATACTTCTGTTTCTTGGAAAGAAAATATTTGCAATACAGTGATAATGAGCATAAGAGGAAATTAACAACATGATCCTGCTAATCTATACTTCTTTGCTCTTTAAAACTACTCTGAACTTTATACAGCTCTGATTTTCAGGCATGCTCAGTTCAATGCATTTAATGTCAACAACACAGGCTACCCAAAGCCTTGGCTGGATAGCAAAAGAATGTGACCCTCTGCTACACGATAGCAAGTTTGCACACTGTCACACCAAATTATTAATTGCCATGTGCATTTCAGAGATAATTTTGGTTATTAAAGCTTCATTAACACCATGCTGTGAAAAGCTTTTCAGTCTTTAATTTTTTGTATTCTAAATGGGGATTTCATATGTGAAAACTATCAGCTGAAGGTCGCAGAATACATAAATGCTATTTACTACCTCCAGTTTAAATTCATAAACTTTCTCCCATTAATAACAGTATTCTGAGCCTAGTACAGAAGCTTTCTGACAAGAAATCACCTCCAGGCCACTATACCAACCTACCTATCTAGAAGGCACAGTAGAACAAATGAATTCCATTTTGAGATACCTGCTTCTCATTTAATATTTAGTATGGGTTATCTTTGCTAAATACCACAAATGAAGCATATTTTGCATTCTCTTTCTTTATATACAGTGCTAAATCCAAATGGTTATCTGATGCCTGAAGTGCAATTTAAATCCTAACCAAATTATCGGGGTAAAACTGCTCTCTATATATGCAAATATGGACCAATTATCAGCTATATCATCCATTCTGAAACATCTACACTTATAAAAATAACTTTTTTCCTTTTGCCATTCCACCTATACTAATTTCAGTCTAAACGAATGTTTGACATCCTATAGCTGTGCTGATTTTCTAGTTAACATTGCATGGGAGCAGCTATAATATTAATATAGTGATATACACATTATCCAAGTGTTCAGTTTATGAGCTGTTGTTTAATTAGGCTTTATTGGTGAACTTTATTGGCTATGCCAGGAAAGACATTTTGGACAGTTTTCTTAACAGCTTGCTTGAGAAAAGGGAATGGCCATATTTCTGCCAACTAGCAATAACAAGCACAGATGCCTCCAGATGTCACTAAAACCTAAGAGGCAAAGAAGATAGAAGGAAGCAACCTAAGCAAACACGGAAGTACAAGCTCCCCCTTCCACAAAGAAAATTAAATAGCTTCCTTGTGTGAGAGTTACTATACAGTACTTGGAATGTTTATTGTATTTGCTTCAGCAGAACTGGCTTTTTCACAAATATTTAATTAAAAAACTATTTTCAGAAAGATTCAGAGGAAATAGCAAATCACAGGTTCATAGACTATTTTTCTTCCATCCACGTTTTCCATTTCTTCCTTTCAGTTATAGAATTCATTAGCCAGCCTTTCCCAGATTTTACATGTCTGAAATAGAATTTGTGCACTATTCTCTCTGTATATGTACTACAGGACAAAACAAAGTAAATTCCAGATATACCTTAACAAATACTTAAGGGATTAAAAGATTCAACACGCTAAAGAAAGAAGAGGATCCTACTTTCGAGTCCAGGTTTTCCCCACCTAAGATTCAGCAATGCTTGCTATTATTTTTTGAATCAATTATACAGTATTGGTAAAATGCTTTGTAATCAGTGAACGGAAAGCATACCAAATAAACATTTGAAGCCACAATGAAGCCTGTATTTCACACAATTTATGGCCCATCAACTAGAAACCAGTAAGTAATCGACAAATGTGTTGGCTTTTTTTGTTTTATCAAGTTTGCGGTTTTCATGCAAGGCTTCTAATCTTCTTCTTTAGAAAGAGAAACATGCTTTCGTTTCCCCAGGTAGTTCAGTACTTGGCAGCAACGAGGAGAGAAATCAGCAGCTTTTTAAAGCAAAGCTTCTGGCCACCATTTCCAAGGAATAGTTAAAAGAAGCCTGGCACTTGCTTTCTCTCAACTACATAGGCGTCCCAGTCAGCTATACTACGTGGTCAACTCAGTCCATTTTAATCCGGCTCACTTTTTTTTTACAAAATATGCATTAGACCCGAGGCTTTCACAGTCTAATGGGAGGTTGGTTCTATTGTTGGGAGGATTAAAAAAAACCCCACACACATCAAATAATCCGATCGTTTAAATCTCGTTTCTCAAATAATCCTTCTCAAATTTTAGCATCCTCATTGTTTTCTTCCCTAACGCGGGACGACTAAAGCCCAGGAGAGTGGAAATAGTTTCTTACGAAGGAGGGAAATACTTTGCCTCCCAGTTTTGGAGCAGAAGAAATTCAGATTTCCTCTTCGCTTTTCTCTACAAAAGGCCCATACTCATCGCCGCCTGGAAGGGCAAAGAGTAGTTAGGTTCCAGCAAGGGACCCCCAAGAAAGATATTCCCTTTCCCAAGAAAAAAAAGGGGGGTGTCAATCCCAGCTCAAGCACTTATAAAGAAAGGGTTCTAAGCCCTGGAAAGAGCGATCCGGGGACATATAGGGAGCATTTACCTCTTGAAATCCCTCATTAGCCTCCGCCTGGCTGGAGTGGACATGGTCTTCTCGCCCCGATGATCAAGGACTCCCGGTCGCCCCCTCCCACAAAAGCCTCAGCACTGCTCCTTAGCGCAGCTGCCTCGCTCCTCGGGTTGGTTCACAAACAACTCTGCAATGGCGTCTCCCTCCGCCGGTGGGAGGAGGGAAAGAAGCCACCCTTCGCGACTCTACCACTGTGCCTGCTTGCGGAGGAGAGACCTAGAACGCCTTAGGAATGTACCACCGCGCCAGGGTGAAAAGGGGAGCACCTTTCGCTAAAAACCCGGCCGGTAGCTTTCGCTCTCTTTTGCCCGAGGGGACGCGGTTGGCGCGCGCGCCGTTTTGCTGATTTCACTTGTAACGCGTTCTGACCAGATAACCTTTGATTCCAAGATTGGGTCTATTATTCATGTTTCTATATTATCCACAGTTCCCTGATCGTTAAGTTGTGGAGGAGAGGTATAAGCCTTACGAAGAATCTAAGTGTAAACAAGTCTTTATGGTGTCTTAAGAGTTAAGGAATTGAAAAAACTGGTCGGTTCTTAAGATACCACACCATTATTTTTGCCGCCTAGCGTAACCAGCAACTGAACTTATAGGTACGGGACTGTATGTGTATGTGTGTATAGCGATCTTGCCCAGCAGAGGAGTGCTTTTCTTGCCATAATCTTTTAATCCTTTTTTTTTTTTTTAGATACATCTCCATTCTACGATAAAATCGGGGTTGCTTGGGTAAGGGAAGCAATGATGCCCTAAAAACGGATGGATAATGAAAAATTATTGTGCTTTCTGACCACTTTGTTTACTGCAAAATAAAAATAGTTAAGCGGATTTACATAATCTGAGAAGCAACTATACTTCTGCAGCTGAAGAGAGGCGCGGATGTACGTGAATGAGCAAAGGAAAAAAAAAAAACAATTAGCAGAATGCCTAGTTGTAGCTACGGAAATATCGCAAGCTTTCTATTTGTGAGCCGCTGCTGTGCAATGAGACCCGATCGCCTAAATGCGCTCGAAATGAAGCGGATTTTTTTTTAAAAAATCCAGTGCAGCATATTGCCTATTAATTTAGAAATAGGTTTACGAATATAACTACCGCGCAGCTGAAAACCACCCGCCCCTGGAACTTTTCGATCATCTGACTGTATAGGCGTTACATATAAAGACAAAGAAGTGAGCTTTTTCCGGGCTGGGGGCAGTTGGCATTGTCTGGTGCCTTCAAACTAACTTTTGCCGATTCGCGGGACTTTCGTGTAACAGCGGATTTGCAGAAACCCCATTAGGCGGGGTAGCACATCGTGTTCCATCTGGCAGCTGACGTCACCCAGGACCTTGCCTTGCCCGAAACCTATCGAACGCGATGACGTCGCACCTGGCTGTTGACATAGCGGCGGTTGCCATGGAACCGGGCCGGTTTGCTTGGCTGGACCTGGGAAGACTCAACATGGGGATTTCCCGGGATCAGGTCAGGAGCGCCTAGATCAGGGTTGCGCGACAGGACAGCTGTGGGATATCCTGATGTGACGCGGGAAGGAGGTTCTTTGAGGCCCGGAAAAGAGCAAGGCAGGGTGGGGTGCGGTGGTGAAGCTTGCTCAGGTTGTGTTTTCGAATACTGTAGCACGGGAGGAGATGTGAAAGTAAAGAAAATGTTGCAGACTGACAATCGTCGAAAACCAAATGCACGATTAAAAAGCAAAGGATTATTTTGCAGTCCTATAGTCCCTTGCTCCAGAGAAACCTTCAGTATAGTCAAAAGTACCTAAATAAATGTGCAGGGGATTGAATTGGATATACATTATGGAACATCCAAATGCAGCAAAGGGCACATTTGCAATGATGGTTAATCAGAAATTTCCATCCTGATCTCCCACACTATGGGCAGAAGGATCCTTATTTATTTAAGATTTATTTTATATAGCCATCTAACTCACTCTCAGTAATTCCTGGAGGCTTACAAAGATAAAAGCCCAATACAAAAATAAATAAAATGCAATAACCTCCCCTGCATCCCTCTGGCAACATCAAATGCCCCATTTTAGGGCTTCATCTCATTTCCATCTGTTAAATGGCTTTAATGCTTCCTGCAAAAATTAGGGGGTTAAACTTTTGCCATTTTTTTTTTTGAGAAGGGGGAGATACTCTGTCATAGCACAGTGTACCCAGTAGAAAATAAGTAAAAAAGCCACAAAGAATGCAAACAGACAAAGTTCAATAGAGGGAGAGTGAGGTGGTCCTGCTAGAAATTTGCATTACTTCGCCTACATTTCCTTGCTATTGACCATTCTGATAAAGGCTAATAATCATTGAAATGCAAAATCTCTTCAGAAGAATTGCCTGCTCTTGATCTTCTACCCTGTCAGGCAATTTTCTTATATATCACATTTTCCATGTTTTCTGCAATTAACCATTTTAGAAATGAATCCTCACAATATTCTTTTAAAGAATAGTTTCTTCAAATTGTTGTTGTTAACTGCGAAGTCGTGTCCGACCCATCGCGACCCCATGGACAACGTTCCTCCAGGTCTTCCTGTCCTCTACCATCTTCTGGAGTCCATTTAAATTCACACCTACTGCTTCAGTGACTCCATCCAGCCATCTCATTCTCTGTCGTCCCCTTCTTCTATTGCCCTCAATCTTTCCCAGCATTAGGCTCTTCTCCAGTGAATCCTTCCTTCTCATTAGATGGCCAAAGTATTTGAGTTTCAACTTCAGGATCTGGCCTTCTAAAGAGCAGTCGGGGTTGATCTCTTCTAGGACTGATCGGTTTGAACGCCTTGCAGTCCAAGGGACTCGCAGGAGTCTTCTCCAGCACCATAGTTCAAAGGGCTCAATTCTTTTGCGCTCAGCCTTTCTTATAGTCCAACTTTCACAGCCATACATTGCAACTGGGAAAACCATGGCCTGATGTCTCTGCTTTTTAGAATGCTGTCTAGATTTGCCATAGCTTTCCTCCCCAGGAGCAAGCGTCTTTTGATTTCTTGGCTGCAGTCCCCATCTGAGGTGATCTTTGAGTCCAGAAAAATAAAATCTGTCACTACCTCCATTTCTTCCCCATCTATTTGCCAGGAATTGAGAGGGCCGGATGCCATGATTTTGGTTTTCTTAATGTTGAGTTTCAAGCCAGCTTTTGCATTCTCCTTCTTCACCCGCATCAAGAGGCTCTTTAGTTCCTCTTCACTTTCTACCATTAGAGTGGTATCATCTGCATATCTTAGGTTATTGATATTTCTCCCGGAAATCTTAATTCCAACTTTTGATTCATCTAGCCCTACCTTTCTCATGATGTGCTCTGCATATAAGTTAAATAGGCAGGGCGACAGTATACAGCCTTGCCAGACTCCTTTTCCAATTTTGAACCAATCAGTGGTTCCGTGTTCGGTTCTCACTGTTGCTTCTTGACCCACATGTAGGTTTCTCAAGAGACAAATGAGATGGTCTGGTACTCCCATCTCTTTAAGAACTTGCCACAATTTGTTGTGATCCACACAATCAAAGGCTTTTGCATAGTCAATGAAGCAGAAGTAGATGTTTTTCTGGAACTCCCTAGCTTTCTCCATGATCCAGCGTATGTTGGCAATTTGATCTCTAGTTCCTCTGCCTCTTCGAAATCCTGCCTGTACTTCTGGTAGTTCTCGATCCACATACTGCTGGAGTCTAGCTTGTAGGATTTTAAGCATAACTTTACTAGCATGTGAAATGAGTGCAATGGTGCGATAGTTTGAACATTCTTTGGCATTGCCTTTCTTTGGAATTGGAATGTAAACTGACCTTTTCCAATCCTGTGGCCACTGTTGAGTTTTCCAAATTTGCTGGCAAATTGAGTGTAGCACTTTTACTGCATCGTCTTTTAAGATTTTGAATAGCTCAGCTGGAATACTGTCACCTCCACTAGCTTTGTTGTTGCTCAGATTTTCTAAGGCCCATTTCACTTCACATTCTAGGATGTCTGGTTCGAGGTCAGTGACCATCTCATTGTGGTTATCTGGGATGTTAAGCTCATTCTTGTATAGTTCTTCTGTGTAGTTTTGCCATCTCTTCTTAATCTCTTCTGTCTCTGTTAGGTCTCTGCCATTTTGGTCCTTTATCATGCCCATCTTTGCATGAAACGTTCCCTTCATATCTCCAATTTTCTTGAAGAGATCTCTGGTCCTCCCTATTCTGTTGTTTTCTTCTATTTCTTTGCACTGTTCATTTAAGAAGGCATTCTTATCTCTTCTAGCTACTCTCTGGAATTCTGCATTCAATTGGGTGTATCTTTCTCTTTCTCCTTTGCCTTTCGCTTCCCTTCTTTCCTCAGCTATTTGCAAAGCTTCCTCAGACAGCCATTTTGCTTTCTTGCATTTCTTTTTCTTTGGGATGGTTTTAGTTGCTACCTCTTGTACAATGTTGCGAACTTCCATCCATAGTTCTTCAGGCACTCTGTCTATCAGATCTAATTCCTTAAATCTATTTGTCACCTCTACTGTATATTCATCAGGAATATGATTTAGTTCATACCTGAGTGGCCTATTGCTTTTCCCTACTTTTTTCAATTTAAGCCTAAATTTTGCAACGAGAAGCTCATGATCTGAGCCACAGTCAGCTCCTGGTCTTGTTTTTACTGACTGTATAGAGCTTCTCCATCTTTGGCTGCAGAGCACATAGTCAATCTGATTTCTATGTTGACCGTCTGGTGATGTCCATGTGTAGAGCCGTCTCTTGGGTTGTTGGAAAAGAGTGTTTGTTATGACCATCGTATTCTCTTGACAAAATTCTATTAGCCTGTGCCCTGCTTCATTTTGTACTCCAAGGCCAAACTTGCCTGTTATTCCGGTTATCTTTTGGCTTCCTACCTTAGCATTCCAATCCCCCATGATGATAAGGACATCATTTTTTGGTGTTAATTCTATAAGGTGCTGTAGGGCTTCATAGAACCGGTCAATTTCATCCTCTTCAGCACCAGTGGTTGGGGCATAGATTTGGACTACTGTGATATTGAATGGTTTGCCTTGGATTCGAATTGAGATCATTCTGTCATTTTGGGGATTGTATCCCAGTATTGCTTTTCCTATTCTTTTATTGACTATGAAGGCTACTCCATTTCTTCTGAGGGATTCTTGCCCACAGTAGTATACCTGATGGTCATCTGAGTTAAATTCACCCATTCCTGTCCATTTTAGTTCGCTGATTCCTAAGATGTCGATGTTCAGTCTTGTCATCTCTTTTTTGACTACGTCTAGCTTGCCTTGATTCATGGATCTTACATTCCAGGTTCCTATGGAGAAAAAATCTTTACAGCATCGGACTTTCCTTTCACCACCAGATATATCCACAGCTGAGCGTCCTTTCGGCTTTGGCCCAGTCACTTCATTCTTTCTGGCGCTACTAGTACTAGCCCTCTGCTCTTCCCCAGTAGCATATTGGACACCTTCCGACCTGAGGGGCTCATCTTCCAGTGTCATATCTTTTTTCCTTTTAGTACTGTCCATGGGGTTTTCATGGCAAAGATACTGGAGTGGTTTGCCATTTCCTTCTCCAGTGGATCACATTTTGTCAGAACTCTCTGCTATAACCTGTCCGTCTTGGGTGGCCCTGCACGGCATAGCTTATAGCTTCACTGAGTTACGCAAGCCCCTTCGCCACGACAAGGCAGTAATCCATAAAGGGGTTTCTTCAAATAATCTTATTGAAAGAAGAGAATATTTTTAACAGAGAATAAACTCAGCCAATATGCTAGTTCTAATATAGTTGCATTATAAATCTTGGAGTAATAATGTAGTTTGCAGGTAGATATGAAATGAAAGCATTAAGAGTCAAGAGTAGACTATAAACTAATTGCCTGATTTGAATGCAGGCATATGGTCCACCAAATCGCTAGTCTTAACAACTTAGAGTCATCATGGATCAGAGCTAAACCCAATTTATTCAACAATCTGTTCTTTCAGTAGTCATCTTACTTATGAAAATTGATAAGCCGAGTCTCAATAACATTCTTATGTCCTTAGCAACAGTTAATTGGAAGCATATTATTTCTAATACTGGTGGGAGCATATATCATCATGACAAACAATTGTAGATAGCCTTATCCTACAATAGTCCTTTCCATTGAGAATAAATATTCAAAAACCCAAAAGGTATTGATATTAATTGCCCCCATTTAGTTTAGTGGAACTTGATAAATCAGTGTCCTTAACCATTATATAGCTTATTAGATACAAGGTGTTCGATTCTGATTATGTGCTATCAGGCCAGTATGCCTGTGAGTATCGGCATAATTTATCTGCTGTTGTTTATAAATATGGCTTAAGAAACAAGCAAAAATAAGACTGGTTAACAAAACAAAAATAAGACTGGTTAACAAAATATTTTTTTTTCTTCAAGAGATTTCAGACTTGAATATGGAGATGTATGAGATCCTTGGAAAAGTGGGAGAGGGAAGTTACGGAACGGTAATGAAATGTAAACACAAAGAAACAGGACATATAGTTGCCATTAAGATATTTTATGAAAAACCGGAAAAATCTGTCAACAAAATTGCAATGAGAGAGATTAAATTCCTGAAGGTTTGCTTCTTTTATTCTTTTGAAAATCAGTATTTTTAATAGAGGCCTGTACAACTTGTAGGGGGAAAAGAGCCACATTGATAAATGAAAAAATATTCACAGGATGCTAATAAATGCCTGATGCATCAATCAGTTATTCACCAGCTAGTAGAGCTGTGGTGTAGTGCTAGAGCTGGAGGCATAGAAAGTATTTGCACTGCCAGTGGCTGTTTATTTATTGACTTTTTTAAAAAAATGCTGGTGGGCCACGTGTTGTGTAGGGTGTCTTGATATTAAAAATTTGATTTATAACCTAGTAAATACATATTCTTGTAAACTTCCTCTTGCCACTTTGGTGTTAAGGGAGATACAAAATTCAGGTTCTCGCACTTTTGTTGGCCTCAACCATTGTTATTTGAGGCTGTTGTAGTGTGTCTTTGATGTTGTCTCTCCATCTTCTTCTGGGTCTGCTTTGTGTTCTTTGGCCTTCTCTTTTTGTGTATGCCTTGTATGGTATAGAATCCCAAGACATTCTCTCCATGTGAGCAAACCACTTAACTTGCTATCTTTGTATGTAATTTAAGATTGGTTCTATTACAGTTCTTTCTCTTATGATCTCATTTTTTATTTTATCCCTTCTTGTCATCCTTCTTGTCATTCTATTAGTTTTCCTCAAACATCTCATTTCCGTGATGACTAACTTTCACTCAGGCTTTATTGCAAATATCCATGTTTGGCACTGATAACATAGGTTGGGGAATCAATAAAGATACATATTTGTTGTTGTTGTTGTTAATTGCGAAGTCGTGTCCGACCCATCGCGACCCCATGGACAACGTTCCTCCAGGTCTTCCTGTCCTCTACCATCTTTTGGAGTCCATTTAAGTTCACACCTACTGCTTCAGTGACTCCATCCAGCCATCTTATTCTCTGTCGTCCCCTTCTTCTATTGCCCTCAATCTTTCCCAGCATTAGGCCCTTTTCCAGTGAGTCCTTCCTTCTCATTAGGTGGCCAAAGTATTTGAGTTTCAACTTCAGGATCTGGCCTTCTAAAGAGCAGTCAGGGTTTATCTCTTCTAGGACTGACCGGTTTGAACGCCTTGCAGTCCAAGGGACTCGCAGGAGTCTTCTCCAGCACCATAGTTCAAAGGGCTCAATTCTTTGGCGCTCAGCCTTTCTTATGGTCCAACTTTCACAGCCATACATTGCAACTGGGAAAACCATGGCCTGGACTATACGCACTTTTGTTGGCAGGGTGATGTCTCTGCTTTTTAGTATGCTGTCTAGATTTGCCATAGCTTTCCTCCCCAGGAGCAAGCGTCTTTTAATTTCTTGGCTGCAGTCCCCACCTGAGGTGATCTTGGAGCCCAGAAAAATAAAATCTGTCACTACCTCCATTTTTTCCCCATCTATTTGCCAGGAATTGAGAGGGCCGGATGCCATGATTTTGGTTTTCTTAATGTTGAGTTTCAAGCCAACTTTTGTACTCTCCTTCTTCACCCGCATCAAGAGGCTCTTTAGTTCCTCTTCACTTTCTGCCATTAGAGTGGTATCATCTGCATATCTAGGTTGTTGATATTTCTCCCGGCAATCTTAATTCCAACTTTTGATTCATCTAGCCCTGCCTTTCTCATGATGTGCTCTGCATATAAGTTAAATAGGCAGGGCGACAGTATACAGCCTTCCCGGACTCCTTTTCCAATTTTGAACCAATCAGTGGTTCCGTGTCCAGTTCTCACTGTTGCTTCTTGACCCGCAGATAGGTTTCTCAAGAGACAAATGAGATGGTCTGGTACTCCCATCTCTTTAATAACTTGCCACAATTTGTTGTGATCCACACAATCAAAGGCTTTTGCATAGTCAATGAAGCAGAAGTAGATGTTTTTCTGGAACTCCCTAGCTTTCTCCATGATCCATCGTATGTTGGCAATTTGATCTCTAGTTCCTCTGCCTCTTCGAAATCCTGCCTGTACCTCTGGTAGTTCTCGATCTACATACTGCTGGAGTCTAGCTTGTAGGATTTTAAGCATAACTTTACTAGCATGTGAAATGAGTGCAATGGTGCGATAGTTTGAACATTCTTTGGCATTGCCTTTCTTTGGAATTGGAATGTAAACTGACCTTTTCCAATCCTGTGGCCACTGTTGAGTTTTCCAAATTTGCTGGCAAATTGATTGTAGCACTTTTACTGCATCGTCTTTTAAGATTTTGAATAGCTCAGCTGGAATACTGTCACCTCCACTAACTTTGTTGTTGCTCAGATTTTCTAAGGCCCATTTCACTTCACATTCTAGGATGTCTGGTTCGAGGTCAGTGACCATCTCATTGTGGTTATCTGGGATGTTAAGCTCATTCTTGTATAGTTCTTCGGTGTAGTTTTGCCATCTCTTCTTAATCTCTTCTGCCTCTGTTAGGTCTCTGCCATTTTGGTCCTTTATCATGCCCATCTTTGCATGAAACGTTCCCTTCATATCTCCAATTTTCTTGAAGAGATCTCTGGTCCTCCCTATTCTGTTGTTTTCTTCTATTTCTTTGCACTGTTCATTTAAGAAGGTATTCTTATCTCTTCGAGCTATTCTCTGGAATTCTGTATTCAATTGGGTGTATCTTTCTCTTTCTCCTTTGCCTTTCGCTTCCCTTCTTTCCTCAGCTATTTGCAAAGCTTCCTCAGACAGCCATTTTGCTTTCTTGCATTTCTTTTTCTTTGGGATGGTTTTAGTTGCTACCTCTTGTACAATGTTGCGAACTTCCATCCATAGTTCTTCAGGCACTCTGTCTATCAGATCCAGTTCCTTAAAGCTATTTGTCACCTCTACTGTATATTCATCAGGAATATGATTTAGTTCATACCTGAGTGGCCTAGTGCTTTTCCCTACTTTTTTCAATTTAAGCCTAAATTTTGCAACAAGAAGCTCATGATCTGAGCCACAGTCAGCTCCTGGTCTAGTTTTTACTGACTGTATAGAGCTTCTCCATCTTTGGCTGCAGAGCACATAGTCAATCTGATTTCTATGTTGACCGTCTGGTGATGTCCATGTGTAGAGCCGTCTCTTGGTTTGTTGGAAAAGAGTGTTTGTTATGACCATCGTATTCTCTTGACAAAATTCTATTAGCCTGTGCCCTGCTTCATTTTGTACTCCAAGGCCAAACTTGCCTGTTAGTCCGGTTATCTTTTGGCTTCCTACCTTAGCATTCCAATCCCCCATGATGATAAGGACATCATTTTTTGGTGTTAATTCTATAAGTTGCTGTAGGGCTTCATAGAACCGGTCAATTTCATCCTCTTCAGCACCAGTGGTTGGGGCATAGATTTGGACGACTGTGATATTGAATGGTTTGCCTTGGATTCGAATTGAGATCATTCTGTCATTTTGGGGATTGTATCCCAGTATTGCTTTTCCTATTCTTTTATTGACTATGAAGGCTACTCCATTTCTTCTGAGGGATTCTTGCCCACAGTAGTATACCTGATGGTCATCTGAGTTAAATTCACCCATTCCTGTCCATTTTAGTTCGCTGATTCCTAAGATGTCGATGTTCATTCTTGTCATCTCTTTTTTTGACTACATCTAGCTTGCCTTGATTCATGGATCTTACATTCCAGGTTCCTATGGAGAAAAAATCTTTACAGCATCGGACTTTCCTTTCACCACCAGATATATCCACAGCTGAGCGTCCTTTCGGCTTTGGCCCAGTCGCTTCATTCTTTCTGGCGCTACTAGTACTAGCCCTCTGCTCTTCCCCAGTAGCATATTGGACACCTTCCGACCTTAGGGGCTCATCTTCCAGCGTCATATCTTTTTTCCTTTTAGTACTGTCCATGGGGTTTTCATGGCAAAGATACTGGAGTGGTTTGCCATTTCCTTCTCCAGTGGATCACATTTTGTCAGAACTCTCTGCTATAACCTGTCCGCCTTGGGTGGCCCTGCACGGCATAGCTTATAGCTTCATTGAGTTACGCAAACCCCTTCGCCACGACAAGGCAGTAATCCATAAAGGGGATACATATTACTATAAGTAAAGGGATTATGTTTATGCCAGACTTATTTTTATGTCTTTTAAAATTAGCATGCATTGTTTTTAAAGAACTTAACACTCACTTGAATTTTCCAAAGAAATTAATTACGTTTATTACTGTATGAATTTCTTATATTATCTGTAACATCATTGAAGGCTGGCTTATTCAGGGTTGGCAGTATTTCTTTGCTTTAGAGATTTAGATTTTTAGATTTTATGTACTTAAATATTTTGAAAATTTATCTTTCAGTGAGATTGTTTCAGTGAAAGTTGAAGTTGAAGCTTTGCTTTGCTGACTATTCCGGTGAAGATTCCTCTTGGAATGTACACATGCACAGAAAACCACTTTAAAGTTATCCTGCTGCAGCTACTTCACATCTTCATGTAGCTGCAGCAAGATATGGTTAATTTACTTTCAGTAGATTAAATTAAACAATTAAAATACAGCAGTTATACATTAATTATATAATATTTAATAATATAATTATTATTCCCTCAGTTTCCGAAGCTTTGTTTCTGTGTAGTAAACACGGGAGTTCCTTTCAAAGCCTCATGCTGTTTAACTTTTATATAAATCTGTTAAGTGAGGTGATCTGGGATTTGGAGGTGGATATTATTGGCATTCTGATTTTGTCCAACTATATTTCTCCCTTTTATTGGAGTTGTATGCTGTTGTGCAGGTAAGGGACTACTGACTGGATGCTTGAATGAGAGACATGAATAAATTGTAGGCTGGATAGAATAGGGATTTTCAGATCTGGGCATTTGAAAAATAGTTAATTAGATAAGACTGAACTTTTGAAGACGTCAATAGCTTTAGAGTATTTTTCATCAATTGTTGTAATTGAAAGAGTAAGTAACTTTGATGATCTGGAGCCCCTTCGGCCAGGTATATCTCTTTTTAGTCAGGGATAGAATATTCATTCTCTGAAATTTTCTGTTTGATATCTATGAGGTTATATTTGAACGTGGCAAACTTTTCGCATCCATTGAAAATGTCACATTTAAGATCAGTGGCTCTTTGGTGCTGTCATACAAGCAGAAAAAAACAGCAGCAATGTGTCACAGATCATTATAAATGGTTTCACAGTTTCTTTTAGATTCTTCCACCTCACAGCCAGAAGCAATGTGTTTCCATTTGCATTGTTCCTGATCTTATATTTGCTAGTTTAAGAGATGGTTGTGATTCTGGTAGCAAGTTTTGGGTAGTGGTTTTCAAGATTCTTTGACCAAAATTGACTCAGGATAGACCAATTTTGCTCTGTTAGACACTGCAAGCAGTAGGGCTCACATATTCTGCAGATTCTTGTAACAGCACTTACAATTCCTAAAAGAATTGCACTGGGTGCGCTCTGTTTATGGTATATGTTTGTGGCATTGGTAATAACATTTAGAATCCTAAATGGGACATCTCTCTTGTAAGTATCTGCCTAAATATTAGGTTCTGTGAGTCTGTCCTCTTTGTTCCCTTATAGAAGCTGTATATTAGGAAGAGATAAAGAGATTTTCAGCTGTGATAGCTGAGTTATGGAGTGATTCCTTTCATGGGCCTTTCATGGTACATAGATTTATTTCAACAACAGATTAAGATGTAATTATATAAACCTTGAGATCAATATAATGTTATGTTCTTTAGTAGTGTTAATTCTAAAATTGCAGTTGCTAATTGTATAGTTTTCCTGATTCAATCTATGGCATAGGTGGATCAGAAATATGTTAATATAGGTAGTCCTTTACTTACAACCATAATTGAGTCCAAACGTTCCATTGCTAAGCATGACAATTAAGTGAATTGTGCCCCAGTTTAGTTTTTTGCCACAGTTGTTAAGTGAATCACTGCAGCCACTAAGTAAATCTTGTGATTGTTAAGCAAATCTGGTTTCCCCCATTGACTTTGTCGGAAGCCAACTGGGAAGATTACAAATGGCGATCACATGACCCCAGGATAGTGTAACCGTAAAAAATACATGCCAATTGCCAAGCACCTAAATTTTGAACATGTGACCATGGGAATGCTGCTGTGTCATAAGTGTGAAAAACCAATTATAAATCACTTTTTTCAGTGCCATTGTAACTTTGAACAATTACTAAAAGAATTGTTGTAAGTCAAAAACTGCCTATAAATACTATAACTCGTATAATTATTTATTGGATCTATTTCCACAATTTATTGGTTGCTTGACTACCAATAATTCTGGGAGGCTTTACAATTCAGTAAAGAGGGTAGCTTGACTTTCCTCGTGGAAAGATTCCTAAATTCAGAATTGGTTTTTATGAGGTAAATTCCATTTTTAAAAAATTGTAATGTAGATGAAACAAAGTTTTCAGTTATTTTTTTTTCATACAGTAGGTTATACCATAAATGCTGATTTCCTAGTTAACAGTAATGTTTGTGATAGTTTTTTAAATTACTTAATAAAATAGATAAAATATATTGGCTTAAATTCATTATAAAAAAATAGATGAACAATAGTATTCAGAAGTGTTGAGGGCAGTTGAGGCACACAAAATATTTATTTGCTCTTTTTTAACAGCAATTTCGTCATGAAAACTTGGTCAATCTGATTGAAGTCTTCAGACAAAAAAAGAAAATTCATTTAGTGTTTGAATTTATTGACCATACAATTTTAGATGAGCTACAACACTATTCTCATGGACTGGATAGTAGAAGACTTAAGAGGTATCTTTATCAGATTCTTCGAGCAATTGACTACCTCCACAGCAATAATGTAAGTATTTTCCAAAAATATTGTGAAGTACCGTACAGCTTGACTATTGCAATGTACCACCTAGAATGAAGACCACCTAGAAGCTTCAACAGGTCCAGGATGCAGCAGCATGAGCAGTGATGGGCCTGCCTCAGTATGCCCATGCAACTCCTCTGGTTTGCAAGCTGCACTGGTTGCCATTTAGCTTTTGGGTGCTCGTAGTTTCCTATAAAGCCCTTCAGTGACATAAGACCTGGTTACTTGAAGGCTGCCTGTCTCCCACAGTATCTGCCCCACTGATTCAAACTGGCAGGGGTGGTGCTCTCTGGGTTTCTTCAATTAAACAATGCATCTCTTGGGATTCTGGAAGCAGACTTTTGCTGTAGCAATACTTGTTATGTCAATTTAGTATAATAGCAAATCACTCCCATGTTTCCTCTTAGTCTTCCTTTTACTGGACCTTCAGCATAAATTGAGATTAAATTGTCCAGCTTTTTTCATATATGTCTTTTAAAATTCTATGTAGAAAATCCAACAGGACAGCAAATACACTTGAGTCACAGACTTCTTTCATCTGGGCTCTTGAATTAATACTGTATTTGCTTTTCTATCCATCCTGTTCCAAACATCCAACTCTTGAACAAAGGGATAAGTCCCTTTTTTCAAGACACGCTTACAGGAAATTGAATTCCTAATTAGCAGTTATATTATTGCTCCTTCCAGTGTATTAAAACAAAAGCTATAATTACAAACCAAGCATTTATTATTTCAAATATGCTTTGTTCCACTAACATAAAAAGTCTAGGTCTAAATAAAATGGAATATAGTGTTTCCAAAATTATAATAAGCAAGCTTGTTGAACTCACCTTTGAAAATAATTAAATGTGTGTCATATCAAGATCTCAGTATGTAACTTGCTTTTTAAGCCTTTCTTTTATTGCTTGAACCAGTATAAGACTAATACTACTGATATTATAGATAGGCTTTATTTATTTATTTATTTATTTATGAGAGTTATATACCACTTTAAGTGCAAGCACTCTCTAAGCGGTGTACACCAGTAAGCAATGTATATATATATTTACATAGCTAGATAATTTGATCAGTCCAACTAATTGACCTAGACTTTTTTTCCACCTCCTAAAACATAATTGTTTTAGTTATTCTTTTATTCTTAGTTGTTTAGCAGTTTGAACTTATATTCCTGTTATATTTACTGAACTAGTTAGCATTTAACTTTTTGTTCAAACAACATATAGTAATAGTAATAGTAGTAAAGTTGGAAGGAACCTTGGAGGTCATCTAGTCCAACCCCCTGCTCGGGCAGGAAACCCTACACCATTTCGGACAAATGGCTGTCCAGTCTCTTCTTAAAAACTTCCAGTGTTGGAGCATTTACTGCTTCTGGAGGCAGGCTGTTCCACTGATTAATTGTTCTCACTGTCAGGAAGTTTCTCCTTAGTTCTAGGTTGCATCTCTCCTTGATTAGTTTCCACCCGTTGCTTCTTGTCCTGCCTTCAGGTGCTTTGGAAAATAGCTTAATTCCCTCTTCTTTATGGCAGCCCCTGAGATATTGGAATACTGCTATCATGTCCCCCCTTGTCCTTCTCTTCTTTAAACTAGACATACCCAATTCTAGCAACCGTTCCTTATATGTTTTAGCCTCCAGTCCCCGAATCATCTTTGTTGCTCTTCTCTGTACTCTTTCTAGAGTCTCAACATCTTTTTTACATCGTGGTGACCAAAACTGGATGCAGTATTCCAAGTGTGGCCTTACCAAGGCATTGAAGAGTGGTATTAATACTTCACGTGATCTTGATTCTATCCCTCTGTTAATGCAGCCTAGCACTGTTTTGGCCTTTTTGGCAGCTGCTGCACACTGCTGGCTCATATTTAAGTGATTGTCTTAAACCAGATTCTACATTATTCTTTTGCTAGGTCATTCACCGTGATATTAAACCTGAAAACATTTTGGTTTCACAAACTGGAATTACTAAGCTTTGTGATTTTGGATTTGCTCGGACTTTAGCAGCCCCAGGTGATATTTACACTGATTATGTTGCTACAAGATGGTACAGAGCTCCAGAGCTGGTATTAAGAGATACAACATATGGGAAGTAGGTATTTTTTTTTAAAAAAAATCATTAATTATTTTAAAGTATAGCAACATAAATTATTCCAAAACAAATGTCTACAAACTTACTTGTGGTGAAGAATAGGAAAGGAACATTAGATGGCGCCCTGATACATTTCTACACTATAGTTTTTGTTTTGAATTTAAAAAGTCCTTGATTCATATTCAACTCCTAATGAACCTCTGGAAATAACAAGGTAGTTTTCTTTGTATAGTAACAATATGGGATGGTTTGCCATTGCTTATTCTGGATTCTTGTTTTTATTTATTTGTTTTCCATTCCAGCCTGTACTCTGGTATTCCCTGGTGGCTCCCATTCAAATACTAACCAGGTCCAAACCTGCTTAACTTTCCAAGTCAGCCAATGGCTGTTGCTTTTCTCTTCTTTTGTTTTCTTTTTCTTTCTCTCTTTCTCTTTCTTTCTTTCTCTTTCTTTCTTTCTTTTTTTCTTTCTTTCTTTTTGGTAAAGACTAAAGAAAGTATTCGGTCTCAGCAATTTATAGAATTTTGTATACATAATCTGCAGTTTGAAGAGAATTATAAATGTTACATTAGGGTAAATCTTTGACTACAAAAACACAAGCAAAAGTTTCGAAAATTTGAGCTAAGGAGATTTGGGCTACAGTAGCCTCTGTCAGATGAAAGTTCACACAAAATTTGGTGTCAATATGAAACTTTATACAAAAAATATACATTCCTTTTGCATTCACTCTTATGACTATATGAGTATTTATGATAGGAATAGTTGCCAAACTCTGGTTCTAAAGCAGGTGGGTGAATTTGGTGGACTTTTGATGGCAAGATTTGTTTGTGCACGTGTGTATGCATGTTAATTAACTGATCTTACTTTATTGAAGAAAAAGTGAAAGTAATAAATTTATTTTAGAGCATTTATATGATAAGATGTAAACATCTGTAAATTTAGTCTTTGTATTATTGAGCACTTTGTTCATTTCCTGATCTTAGACCTGTGGACATCTGGGCTTTAGGTTGTATGATTATCGAGATGGCGACTGGCAACCCCTATCTACCCAGCAGCTCTGACCTAGATCTACTTCATAAAATCGTGACCAAAGTTGGTAAGTACTGTTCTTAATATTACTCAAAGAGAAGTAATATGAAGTTATAAAGTTACCACTTCATAACGCCTTGGTAAGACCACACTTGGAATACTGCATCCAGTTTTGGTGACCATGATGTAAAAAAGATGTTGAGACTCTAGAAAGAGTACAGAGAAGAGCAACAAAGATGATTAGGAGACTAGAGGCTAAAACATATAAGGAACAGTTGCTGAAATTGGGTATGTCTAGTTTAACGAAGAGAAGAACTAGGGGTGACATGATAGCAGTATTCCAATATCTCAGGGGCTGCCACAAAGAAGAGGGAGTCAAGCTATTCTCCAAAGCACCTGAAGGCAGGACAAGAAGCAATGGATGGAAACTGATCAAAGAGAGAAGCAACCTAGAACTAAGGAGAAATTTCCTGACCATTAGAACAATTAATCAGTGGAACAACCTGCCTCCAGAAGCTGTGAATGCTCCAATACTGGAAGTTTTTAAGAATAGATTGGACAACCATTTGTCTGAAATGGTATAGGGTTTCCTGCCTGAACAGTGGGTTGGACTAGAAGACTTCCAAGGTCCCTTCCAACTCTGTTGTTGTTGTTGTTGTTAATAATAATAATAATAATAATAATAATAATACAGGGCAAATCTATTGGTCCAGAATAAATTCATCTAACCCTATACGTCTTTCTGTTCAGGCTTTGGGATTTCTATAAGTTTGATTAAGGGAATGGATGAATCATATTCTTTATCTAAAAAAACACTTTCAGTAAAATTTTACTTGAAAAGTTCTCCTTGGCTTCAAAATATCTGCATGTTTTCTTATGATACATAAAATAGAAAATAGTGTGAAGCAAAATAGCTTCAATTCTTTCAATGCATGAATTTCTGATTCACTTTGCTCCCCAGAACTTTCTCTCTTTTCTGCCCTGCTCACAGAAAAGTGATAAACTGTGGTAAATAATAATAATAGTAAAGTTGGAAGGGACCTTGGAGGTCATCTAGTTCAACCCCCTGCTCAGGCAGGAAACCCTATACCATTTCGGACAAATGGCTGTCCAGTCTCTTCTTTAAAACTTCCAGTGTTGGCGTATTCACTACTTCTGGAGGCATGTTGTTCCACTGATTAATTGTTCTAACTGTCAGGAAGTTTCTCCTTAGTTCTAGGTTGCTTCTCTCCTTGCTTAGTTTCCACCCATTGCTTTTTGTCCTGCCTTCAGGCGCCTTGGAAAATAGCTTGACTCCCTCTTCTTTGTGGCAGCCCGAGATATTAGAACACTGCTATCATGTCCCCCCTCGTCCTTCTCTTCATTAAACTAGACATACCCAATTCCAGCAACCGTTCCTTATATGGTTTAGCCTCCAGTCCCCTAATCATCCAGTCTTATTATTCATGCTATCTTACTTGGTTGACTTCAAATACAGATTTCATTTTTACCTATCTCTCATCTCTTAATTTCTCCAAAGTCACATTGGAATATGTTGATCCCATGTTTAAATGCTTCTTCCTTTATTTCTAATTTCAATGCAGATTATCTCCAATGTTACTTCAAAAGCCAGAACCAAATACTTTCTAGAAATGTACAGAAATCATTTTAAGATACAGCATTTATTAATACACTTAACTGACCTAAGTGTATATGTTATCTGTTTATTTCCTCCTTTCCTTTTTATGTTATATATTCTATCAAATATATAACAAATTTGCAGATGACACTAAACTGGCAGAAATAGCCAACACCCCAGAAGACAAGCTCAAGATCCAGAACGATCTTGACAAACTTCAACAAGGGGCCCTATCCAATAAAATGAATTTTAAAGGGGAGAAAAGCAAAGTTTTACATTTAGGCAAGAAAAATCAAAGGTATAAATATAGATTAGGCGAGACCTGGCTCAAAAACAGTAATGTGAGAGGGACCTTGGAGTCCTAGTGGATGATCACTTGAATATCAGCCAGCAGTGTACAGCAGCAACCAAAAAAGCTAATACAATCATGAGTTGTATAAACAGAGGCATAGAATTAAGATCACGTGAAGTATTAGTACTGCTTTATAAAACCCTAGTAAGACCACACATGGGATACTGCAACCAGTTTTGGTCACCATACCACAAAAAAGATGTTGAGACTTTGGAAAAAGTTCTGAGAAGAGCAACTAAGATGATCAAAGATCTGGAGACAAAACATATGAAGAATGGCTGCAGGACTTGGGTTTGGCTAGTCTAAAGAAAAGAAGGAATAGGGGTGACATGATGGCAGTATTCCAGTATTTGTGGGGCTGTCGCAAAGAAGAGGGGGTTAAATTATTCTTCAAAGCACCAAAGGGCAGGACAAGAAACAATGGTTGAAAACGAATCAAAGAGAGAAGCAACCTGGAATTAAGTGGAAACTTCTTAACAGTGAGGACAGTTAATCAGTGGAACAGCCTGCCTTCAGAAATTGTGGGCCCTCCATCACTGGAGGTTTTTAAAAGGCTAGACAATCACTTATCTAAAATGGTATAGGTTCTCCTGCTTGAGCAGGGGACTGGACTAGAAGACCTCCAAGGTCCCTTCCAGATTCTATTCTGTTCTATTTTAAATTCCTTGGGGCAAGGATGTATACACTTACAGATTATACACTTAAGTTTCATTTTAATTGACAATTGGGAGGATGGATTGTTTGTTAAATATTATAGAGCCTGACATCTCTTGTGTGATGTTGCCATGACACCAGTGATGCAAAACACATCATTTATGTCCATTAACATAAATATGCAAATATCAATTGATACCAAACAGAAGAATTTAAATGATGACATCATGCAATTGAGATGAATTACATTGCCTATGTCATTTGCATAAGAGTGCCATTATTAATCATCAGATTTTTTTTATATATTTTGCATGTACTAAACACAAGTTGCCAATTTCCTTCAAAGCTACTTATTCCCTGAGGCCTAATCAGATTTAGAAATCTAGGTGTGTTACTCTTATTCCAGAGTTCTGGAAGTGTTGCCTTCCAACTCTGCACGGTTTAGATTCCTCCCTGCCTTTCCATATTCTTTCTGTGGGAAACTTTAAAGAAATAAAAGCCTTCAGCTTTTAACCTTATTTAACTTCAAGAGGAGAGAATTTGTGTTTACTTACAGATGTAGCCAATAGGCTGTCTAAGAATTATCTTACGACAGGTAATGTTAGTTTGTGTTCTGGACTAACCGGATTTTCAGAAATTGCACCGTTCGAGGTACCCATTATTGTACCTCTACTGTACGTGTACAATCTGTAGAACTTTAATTACTAAATAATCCTTATAATAAATCCAAGGTCTTACACAGGGGGATTTATTCCCACTACAGGACAGGACAGGATAGTCCTCAGCTGAAAATGACAACTGGGACTGAAAGTTCTATCACTAAGTGATGCAGTCTGCACTGCAACTGCACTGCTAAGTGATGCAATCCTTGCTGTCCCGGTTGGCATCGTAAACTGAATTCCAGGCTAGTTATGCAAGGCAACTGCTGCCAGCTTCCTACCACCAAAGTCACTGCAGAAGCTGGTAGGAAGTTGCAAATCCCAGCACAGCAGGCAGCTAAGTGACTGCTGCTGAGCGGGGGAAGGAGGGATAGGGTGCCCCAGAAGTTCAGCTTGAGCTAGGGAGTGTACATGAGTATGTGAGAAGAGTATGGATTGAGGAGGGTGTCTGAGGATTCAGTGAGGGTCAGGGAGAGTATGCAAGGGTGCGATTAGGGCTGAGGAGGGTATGTGAGGGTTCAGTTAGAGTTGGGGAAGAACGCATGGATGCAGTGCAGGTCAGTAAGGGTTTGTGAGGGTATTGTAATTGGTTCTGGCATGATGAGTATTCATACCTTGGACTATGAGTACTGTCTCCTGTTTGACTAACTGGCATTCCCCACATACCTGACATCTGTTCCAATTCCTGGCCAGCAGAACATGTCTAGCATTCGGTAGACACTTCCTTGTATACATTGTCATTTCTTGCCAAAATGTTTTTAAAGAAGTATCTTCTCTCTGTTTTTCCACCATATCAATTTTCCATGGGAGAGCTCCAGTATCCAGGGAGTCTCCTCTAGCTTTATCTGTCTCCCTATTTCTTTTTCTCTTTTGGAGGCTTACATCCTTCCCCATTCAAATCTGGATGAGAAGAGAGAACATCGATTGCTTTGAAACCTCCTCTTCCTATTACAGGCTTGTGCCTCAGTAGTTATTTTTACCTCTCCCTCTGAGGATATATCTAGCCAGGAAAATCTGTTCATATTAGCAGTCAATAGGGCAATTTAGTACTAGTCACAACTACCATCATTTCTATTTCATCCTTAACTTGTATATTTGCTCTACATAATGGTACAAGTCTAGTATGACCATAAACACTTGTTAAGTGCTCTTTGTTCACTCTTGGTAGTTTTTTTGATCAAATAAGGACAAATTATTCATTTGCTTCCTAAACCCACAACTGGGGTTCCGTTGATCGGAGCCCATATTGTTATTTCTTATTCTCTAGATGCTTGCAACACGGCTAAGAAAGATTCCTTTCCTTGGGAGATTTGACAGTCTTTTACTAAGTGCCCCATCTTGCCACATTTATAACAGGACCTATTTTCTCCTTAGTTTGTTCACACTCCCTTTTCCCTGTGTACCTCCTTTTTCAGTCTCTCCTTTTTTCTTCCCTTTTCCAACCTCTCCATGCCCCCTTCTAGCTTCCTCATTTTTTTCTGATTGCAAGATAATCTTCTGCTAAGGAGGCTGCCTTTATTTCTGTCTCTGAGTGACATTCTTGCACCCAAAATCAGTCAGGACCAGGCAGGATCTGTGGGAACTGTTCAGAAATAATTTCATCTCTACTATGTCTATCTGGCTGTAATCATGGTCTAGCTAGGTCTCCCAGCCTTGCCTAGAGTTCTTTCACTCCTTCCTATTCCAGTTACTTATATTCATGGAATCTTTGCATATTTTGTGACTTCATAATAGTAGAGGGACACCTCTTTTTCTTTACTGTAATCCACCACCTCCTGAGTAGGAAGACCTACATTTCCCTTTCCTATCATATACGGGGTTAACCTGCCACCCAGTCCTCCCTTGGCCATTTAAATGACATTGCTGCACATTCAGACATAATTAAAAATGCCTCTGTGTCTTCATCACACACTTATGGATGGATGAATTTTTATATTCCTAACATACCCTACTAAAGGTAGAGCTACCCAGTGGTGGAGCTTTTCCTACAGTGACTTCTCTTTTCTTGAGGAGGGAAATAAGAAGGTCCCTATGCTACTTTCTTTGAGCTTCTCTTTCTTCCCTCTTTCTTTTTCTAGGCAATCTCTACATTCAGCCTCTTGTCATTTTGTTTCCTCTTCTTCCCTTCTTAGGAGATGGCTCTGTTTGCTATTGGTGTATCTCCTTCATAACACTGGTTCATGACTCTGCTGGGCTGGATTTGCTTTAACCCTCTGTCTCATATGCTTTGAATGTTGGATCTGAATCTGTGTGTTCCTCAGAAACCATCTTTGCCTTTTTTCCTGAATCTGCTGCCCACTTAATGTGTCCTTGAGTTTGAGGGCATGCTTGTGGTACTTGGAATTATGTACGAAGAATTATGTATCAAGTACTGGTCACATTGCTTCACCTCCTTCTCCATACACTTATTTGAATGTCTAAAATATCATCTGCATGCCTGGAGCATGATATTGTGATCTCTCATGAGGAATTCTTTCTAAAGGACATTATTGTATCTAGCCTCCTGCCAGCATTTGACCTGCTTCAGTTTGCTTACCGACCAAGTTGCTCTACGGAGGATGCTATTTCTTCTGTTCTCCATCTGAGCTTGAAGCACTTAGAGGAAAGAAATACTCATGTGCATTTGTTGTTTGTCAACTTCAGTTCGGCATTTAACACAATCATTCCCCAGCATCTAGTAGACAAACTGGGCATTTTAGGCTTAAAAACTCCTTTATGCAACTGGATTCTTGATTTTGTTACTAATAGGCCCCAATATGTGCAAGCTGGAACAAATATTTCTAACACCATTTTCTTGAGCATAGGTTCTCCTCGGGGTTGTGTCCTAAGTCCCCTGCTCTTCACCCTGTTGGCCCATGACTGTTGTGCTAGGTTTGCCACCAACCATTTTGTGAAGTTTGCAGATGATATAACAGTAGTGGGCCTTATTCATGATAACAGTGAGGGTGCTTACCGCAAGGAGGTTGAGGTTTTGGTGAACTGCTGTAAGGAAAACAGCCTAGTTTTAAACACCGGAAAAACCAAAGAGATCATTGTCAATTTCAGAAAAGGCAGCCACAGCCACACTTCTCTATGCATTAATGATTCACCTGTGGAGATGGTTACCAGCATCAAATTCCTGGGTGTGCAGTTAATGTAGGCTGGCTTGGTCGTTCAACGGCGTGACACTGGTGAAGCAGGCACAGCAGTGCCTGCATTTTCTGCGTCGCATGAGAAAAGCACATCTTCCTTCCCCTATCCTTACCACTTTCTTCAGGGGAAAGATTGAGAGTATCCTGTCATACAGCATCACAGTCTGGTTTGGAAGCATCACTGCTTCAGACAGGAAGGCGGTGCAGAGAGTGGTGAGGATGGCTGAAAAGATTATTAGCAGTTTCCTCCCTTCCATCCAGGACATAGTATATAAGCGTTGCTTGAGCAGGGTCCGTACGATTGTCTGGGACGCTACCCATCCTCTTCATGACCTGTTTTCCTTGTTACCTTCTTGGAGGACGCTCCATTGTATCTGAAGCAGAACATTCAGATTCAGTCACAGTTTTGTTCCATACAGTATTAACCTTGTGAACTCTAAAGCAGGGGTCTTCAAACTTGGCCCTTTTATGACTTGTGGACTTCCAGAATTCCTCAGCCAGACATGCTGGCTGAGGAATTCTGGGAGTTGAAGTCCACAAGTCATAAAAGGGCCACGTTTGAAGACCCCTGCTCTAAAGCTTCCTCCTTCCGTTATGCAGGGCTTTTTTTGTCATAGAACGCCTAGAATGGAGTTCCAGCACCTTTTTTGTATGGAACCTTATAGGGTAGGCAAGGCGGGCTGTATGACATGTGTGAGTTCCAGCACCTTTTTTTTTTTTTTACAAAAAAAGCATTGCCATTATGTATTCAAGATGGACAATGATTAATATTTATGTGTTACTCATATGTAATGGTATAGGTCTATACATAAGTTGTATATAGTATGTTTGAATGTGTGTTAAGTATGTGTACACTTTGAGAGCAAGCAACTAAATTTCATTTTTGTTGTGCCATTGTGCCCACAGTAAAAAATGACAATAAAGGTTCTCTCTCTCTCTCTCTCTCTCTCTCTCTCTCTCTCTCTCTCTCTCTCTCTCTCTCTCTCTCTCATGACGCTACACCACAGCATAGAATAAAAACTTTACATAATCTTTATTGTACTACACATTTTACTCAATAGTGGGCTGTTACCCTGGCTGTACAGGGTTAACTCCACCCTTCTAGCCCTGACAAATTGGCTTAGCACGTAAACAGGTGAGGCTCAGTCCTTACAACAACTAAAAGTCTTAAAATTTATAAAGTGGCATACAGACCTTGCTTCTTCCAACATTTTTTGCATTTGTTGGGGTTTATATGCTTTTTTAGCATGGTTGTTCCTTTTATAATTGTTGCCAAAGTCCAGGCCAAGCTCTGCTCTTAAGCAATGTTGGTATTGATCATCCAAGCTGAATTCCAGGCAGGAATGGGCCACGTACCCTGCTTTTGGTCTTGACAGTTGACCGTCAGCCATTTTGTTTGCCTGTAACTGTTATATGTTCCTAGATGTCACTTTGCACTTCTTCAGCTCCTTCTTTGTGTACTCTTCTCCCACTCCCGCAGACACACATTCTTTGTTGGCTTTCTCTTTTTTTAGGCTAAGGGCATGAGTGGGATAAGGTTGCTGTCCATGGACATCGGTACATTCCTGGAAAAGCCCAGGAGGTGTCTCAGCTATCCAAGTGGAATGTTGTTTTGCTAGTCAAATAGATGGGTGTGGCCACATGACCAGCAGAGATGCAGGTGTGGATGTCTATGGGTCTATGGATACACATTGTCAGTCCATTTCTCTCAACTGGTTGGGGGGAAATGGAGCACTCAGATTTCCAAGACTGTAAACCTATGTCCCTTTCCAGAAGGAGTTGAGTTTAACTTAGCCTCAGGAAGTTGGTGGATGAGTGGATGACATTTCTGCATGGCTGCAACCACAGCACTCAGAGTTTTTATGCTGTTTCTCCAAAGCACAGAGAACATTTCTAAATTAAACTATCTCTTAATATGAATAAAATTGCCTTAATTTGAGTTGAATCTTAAACTATGGATGTAAAATCAGTGTTAATTAATGTATTACAAAATATTAACAGTGCTCGAATAATAAATGTTGAAGTAATTTGGACTATTTATGTGTATGTTTGCTGTCTTTCAGGAAACTTGACACCTCACTTTCAGAGTATTTTTATAAGGAGCCCGGTTTTTTCAGGGATGGTTCTTCCTGAAGTTCAGCATTCTAAAACTGCAAGAAAAAAATATCCCAAACTCAGTGCACTACTTGCAGATATGGTTCATGTATGTCAGAAGAGGTCTGAGTATCAAGCTTACTGATGATTATTAATTGTAGCCTGACATTCTTTTTATGTATAATTTATAAATCTTGAAATATTAGTAGTATTTAGAAATGGGAAGGAGACTTGCAATATGATATAAAAACTTCTTTGTTGTTCATTTGTTTGTCGCTGCCTTTTTCATATCCTGTAGAGGTTTATTGATATTTGTCTAAAGAGAGGTATTTGCATATTTCAGATATTTTTGCTAGTCCGTGAGTTTTTAATTTTCTAGTCCAAGATGCTACTTTCCATTTTTATCCAATAGATTGTTGTAGAAAAGCTCTGAGTATATCTTAACAGGTACTGAAAGGCAGAGAGAGGTTCTCTCTCTCTCTCTCTCTCTCTCTCTCTCTCTCTCTCTCTCTCTCTGTGTGTGTGTGTGTGTGTGTGTGTGTATGGATGAGAGAGAAAAATACATACTTTTAAATCAACAAACATGATTTTACTCTACAGCAAGTACCATTTTTAAAAAAGGTACCTTCAAATCAGTCTCAATTTCTAATAACCACATGGAGACATTCATATGAGCCTTGGAAGAATCAAAGATTTTTGGATGAAATATTAACTTGACAATTTAATATGCAGGAGTAAATATATTTTAGATATATTTGTCACACATACCAATAAATTAATACATTAATATTAAATAAAGTTGTTAAATAAATGCTTATTACTTGATGGATAAGTTTGGCTTCTTAGTTGCATAGCACAGGGCAGGGCAGGGCATTTGGAGAAAAGAGGATGTCCTAACTTGAGATGTCTTGGATTATCAGTCATCCCTTAGAGCAGGGTTTGGGAACTATGGCTCTTTTGTGACTTGTGGACTTCAACTTCCAGAATTCCTGAGCCAACTATGTTGGCTCAGGAATTTTGAGAGTTGAAATCCACAAGTCATAAAGGGACCACAGTTCTCCACCTCTGCCTTAAAGATTGAGTGGTTGAATTTGCTGGCACTTTTAGTCAGCATTAGGAGATTTTTCTCTCTTCAGGAGATTCCAGCTCAACTGTAGTCATATTTTGACTTACACTTTTTACATACTCTGACACTGTTTATTATTTATTAGTCAATCTTATTTATTTGGGCAGCATAGTGCTTTGAATTTGATTCCAAAAGGGTTCTTTGGAGGCCAAATATATGATCCTTGGGAAAGGCATGATTACTTGAAGGAGTGACAGACAGATGCTATATTTATGTTCCTTCATACTTCAAAGCATATATTGGAATGGAATTTAACATGCTATATAGTTCTACTGTTTAAGGTGCGATATTATGGAAACTATTAGATATTATGGAAACTATTACTATTTATTAAATCTTATGAGTGGATTATAATTTGGCACAATATTATGGAAACCACTAACCGTTATTAAATCTTAGTAAGTGGATTATAACTCTACAGATGACACAACTAACATTGCTTTGGTTCAAACAAGGTATTATACTAACAGAAGACAAAGTATCTGTTGACCCTTTTCATCTTCATTTAGAAATCAGACACACCTAGTAATGTGTAAGTTAAGATAGGAGATTTTCTTAGTAATGAATATATTGAAAATATCAAGATACTAGTTAATCAAAATGAATTTATTAAGTAGAAATATTGTCTATTATCTTCTCTCAAGTTAAAAATAATAATAAACAAAATCAAAGAAAAAGATTACAGTTATCTTCAAGATATCTTCATAAATACTTAATTTTCAAAACCTTTTCCCTCTTTTTGTCTTGTTTAATAGTTGCCTACCTACTTCTTGACTTTTAAAGATCTTAACTGAAAACAGAAAGACAATTTTTCTAAGTCTCAAATATTGTTAATTTTTATTAACTAATAGATACGATTTTGAAAGCCACTATTTCAAAATTAGACTTTTTTCTTTAAAAAATGCTATTATTAAGTACACTTATACACTTCACTATTAACTCTGTTTAATAATGGCATGAATTGGTGGTCACAGTTTCAGCTTCTTTAAAAGTATAATGCAATTAAAATACATAAAAATTCAAACAACTGTCTTTCAAGGTAGCTAACTAACTTAAAATGTTTCCTAACAAATCTATATTAATAATTACAAGACACTTCTACAATTTTCATAGCTTTTCTGTTTTGTAGCTTGGGTTTTATTCCAACTTTTAATAGAGTCCAAATTAACTTATTCATAAGTTTTTTTCTTTGTAAAACTACTTATGTTATAAAACTATTTCATGCTGTACTATCCCTTTTGGCCAATCATACATATATTTGGAAATTATATACTTCTAGCTTTGAATTATTAATTATTTCTTATTAATTTTTAGTTAACATTACAGAATAAACTTGCTTGTAATTATTGGTTTTAAACTTTCTACGCTGCCTAGAGCACGGGTGTCAAACTCGCTGCGTCATGTGATATGTCGTGATGTATCACAACTTTTTTTGCATAGCTGGAGCTGGGGTGGGAGCAGCCTCTGTATGATGCAACTGGCCCACGGGCTGGCAGTTTGACACCCCTGGCCTAGAGTCACTGTTGTGAGATAAATAAGTAATTTTATTTTTCACTGAGGAAAGGAAGCTTGAAATTGTACAACAGCATCTAACATTTTTAAGACAACTAAAGCAACTTTTTTTTTAATCCATGATAGTCTAGGCAGGAACTTAGGATTCTGGAAGTCTGTGGTTAGCCATTTATTTGTTTGTTTGTGATGTGATGGATGATCATTTGTTGTGGACGAATCCTGATGTATTTGGTAAATGGAGTAGTTATTTTGTGTCTTGTAATTAATTTGGCAGGGAATAGTGCTTTTTCATGCTTCTGATGCTTTTGATAATTGCATTCATAACTCATTTGCTTATATGAGGAAAGAAAGAACTTATAACAGTTTTTTTAAGAAGTAGAGGCTACCTGCAAATCTATTTTCAATTATGTGAAAATTTAGGAATAACATTTTAATTCTGTTTAATCAAAATTTTAGCTAAAAGATTTTCCTGAAATATTATAAGCTGATTATCTTTATGCTTATAGAAAATTTCAGTATGCATATTATTTCTATATTTTTTTCTGAATAAATTGCTTGAAGTGGAACTCATTCATTCTATCAGCAAATTGTGCTGGCCTAAAATTTGCTGTTCCCATTTCTTTGTCTTGCCTCAACTTGCCTCTACTGTTCCAAATCACTAAGCTTCCATCATCTCATTCCCCAGAAAAAGAGAAAGGGAGATATGGTAGATCTTCTTGACCTCTGAAATACAAAAGTAAATAAACTGTGTCAATTCTGCCGATCATAGTTTGTTTTTTTGTCTTTACCACTTTACAACTCAGTGATTCTTTGACTTTATATTGGTTATGCTTAAACTAAGGTGAAATGTTTGTGCCATGCAAGTCCCAGGCAGATACATTAAGCATTTATGCAATGTAACAATGCAGCTGTGACTAATCTGACACATTACATCAGCTTTCTTTCCCATGTCTCCTCTCTGTTTTGGTAATCATTACTCAGATCAAAGACATAACAATATTGGCTTTTGTTGTCACTAAATCTGTTGTATCCTCATTCCAGATTAGATTGGAGTTTCTATGGTTCAACTGCCTGAACTCTTTGTGAAAAGTCCTGTTGAAATGAGGAAACCCGATTTAATCTATTACATAATGACATATTTCCTGAAGACTGATTGATGGCCTCTTTATAATTTTTTCACCTATACAATAGATTTTCTTAAAATTTTCTGCTACATTTTTGAAATCTACAATTTACAAATACTGTTTTAGATACTGTCTGCTTATCAGATCTTAAATCTAAAGAATTGAACATAATAACAAAGAGTCAGTTACATCATTAATGGCAATAGCAGTGGCAGGCACATTTGTAATAGTACTGTACAGCTATCATTTATACTTGAACAAAAGTCTGAAGTACTTGATTCAGCATAAAGTAATGAGGCTTACAGCAATAGTGTTCATGTAAACTATAACTCCTTTAGCACTGATAGATTTCATTTCAGTGAAATGAAGGGTTATCATTCATTCATTCATTCATTTAGTCAGTCAGTCAGTCAGTCAGTGAAAGGTCATTAAAGCTGCAAGCAACAGAATTATAGTATTCACAAATTAAAAATGTGTTAGCCAAACATGGAAATTTTATGGCAACTTCAGTTTCTACTTTATGCAATGCTGGTATATAGTAAATTTCAAGGATAGTACAGAAAGTGCTAGTTATTGTAATTCTGGGATTGTGTTAACTTTCATATGCCACAGTATCATCATGGCAGCTACCCACAGAGTTCTAAGGGACTCTATGAAACTTACAATCAACCCTGCTTTTCTTTTAAATTATATAGATAGATAGAGCGAGAAAGCAAATTAACTATTTCCCTATTGCTCACTTTATGAAATGCCTTGCCTTTTTGATTGCTAAAACTCACCCCCACCTCAAAAAACCTCCAGTAAAGTCTCTTTGCACCAATATCCAGTGAGATAGGACCACATAAAGATAGCAAAACAATTCTGCATATATCTGAAGGTTCTTGGTTGCTTCCAACAGTTTCTAGTTTTCAGCCAGCATTCCCCAGCTTCTTCCAATATGCTAGAATACAATTAGCATGGCTAGGTTGCAGAAGACTTTTTTGCAACATCACTGTCTTGGCCAAATTCAAAACTATAGAGCTTTTCCTTCCCCTGTCTTACTAAATGATAGTTTTAAGTTCATTTTTTTTTTCTGGTGAAATATTACAAAGAGAGAGAAAGAGAGGGGGAGGGGGAGAGAAGAGAGAATGAAGCTCTTATTAAGGATCAGCCCTATTTGCAAACAACCTTTTGAAAAATGATTGTGAGGCATTTTGTGCAAATGTTCACTGCTGTTAAATCTAAATATGTTTACATTAATTTGTTCAGATCAGCAACTTTGTAACCAGAGCACTGTGTCACATCTATTAGAATATATGTTTTAAGATTCCAGGCAAACAAGGTCTCTACTATTCAGGAATAATACCC